GGGTCGCGACCAATTTGGGTCGCGACCAGAGTCGTGGAACGAATTAAGTTCGTGAACTGAGATACCACTGTACTTAAAAGTTTTTTCCCTGACCAAACAGGTCAGTTTTGCCATTTTCAAATGTATAGTCTTCATGGCTACAAAATGATTGGATAACTGAAATAAGCCATTTAACTGAGTATAGTACTGCTTTTTATTATTCATGTTTATTAAAATTGTTTACATAGCTAAAAGACAAATATGGCAGTATTTAAAGAAAAGAGAAAATGAGAGAAAAGAAAAAGTGCAGAAAAGAATACAAAGAAAAAAAGATAGTTAAAGAAGTGACTTTCACTCTTCTTTACAGCTGTTACAAACAAACTCATTATTCCTCCTCCCTCCTTAGCATTACATTAATCCCTTCAGCCCCTTATTCAATTTTTTTTAGAGTTCGTAACAAAGTGTTTCCTTTTGTTTTTAAAAAAAGAGTGAAAACAAGTTACTCTACAGAAGCTGAAAGAAATTTATTGTATTTAAAATTAATTGTGTGTCTTTCTGGATAAAGAATAAGGTGCCTTTTTATTTGGAAATATTTAACATTTTTCAGAACATTAAATATTTGATCATTCTTTGACACACATGCCAGATAACATTTTAAATCAGTGATGCTATCTATTAAAAGAAAACATATATTTTACAGCATATATACAATGAAAATCTTTTATCTTCATTATAAAATGACTGATGTAATCTAAACTGTAGTAAAGTTATCATGACTGAAGATAATCCTTTCAAAATATTTTTTTTAATTGTCCTTTTTTCTGCTCCTGATTTTGGAAAATTATTGATAAAGAAAGCAGATCACAGAACAAATCCCAGTTTTCTAAAAACATGATATGAGAAATTATTCTATATCATGCTAATACATTTACAAAACAATACAATGTATGACAACGTGTAGCGACCCATTTTTACTGCTAAAATGTACATATTTGTATAAATAACAGTTACCTCTAAGCCTCTTTTACTTGATTGTAACCTTAAGTTTTAATTAGGCATTCAATTATTAATGTTACTAAAAATGCAGTTAAGTAGATTGAGCTTCAATTTACGTTTTGATCAACAAAAGCATTACAATGGCACCACAGATTCAAGTAGCATTTATGTATCATTTTTTTTCTGTACCTAGTAGCAGAAAATATAGCAACAGGGAATTAACATTTCCAATCTTTCATTCAGAAAATATCTTAGAGTTGAACCCATTAGTATATAAATACTATACAAAGAGTAGGTGGCAGGGAAGTTAAGCAGCAATTCTGCCCCTTTGTGCTTGAAGCAAAGTGCAAGATTCACAGCAGCTCCCATAGATGAACAGTAGGACTCTAACCCTGATGGGGATTCCAGCTGTGCTTAGTAATCTACTAAGGAACCTAAAGGAGAAATTAGGACCATAAATGCGCCTATTGATCTAACTGGCTGCAGCAAAGAATACCATGGCATAATTGTGATAATGATTTCAGTGTAAGCTATCCTGTACCCCACCCTTTGTATTAGTGGGATGCAATAATTACAGCCCAAATTTGTATATTTTCTGATTCAAAGAGTAGAATAAAAAAAACCAAAAGAAGTAACTGAATGGTCAATAGTTCACCAAGAGCCTTGCGACAGAAGCTTACACATCCACCAGAAACATAACTTTCCAGTATTATATTTCATTGGCAATGGATACTGCAATAAATGCAGCTATTTTTCAGTAACCCTTTTTATAAAAAGGATAAAGCTTTCAGAAGATCACTTGTGAGTCACAAACATTTGAAAGCTGGCAACACAACCATTCCTCCATCACAAACTTACTTTCCCTCTCTAAATTCAGTAGCATGGATCACACACAGAAATATAACAATAATGGACCGGGACCCTTCTGCACATGCCCAAGACATAACTATCAATACATTTCTGAAACTAAAGTCTTTACATGCTCATCACATGTTGAGGTAGACTGATTTACAAATAAACATTCTTTTACACTTTCATTCGTTCATGACAAACTTCTTTCTGAATCTTCCTCCTTGGAAAAATTTTTCGTTTGAGAGCTATTAGCTGAAAAATCAAAGAATAAATTATTTTTTTTAATCTTTACAACATTTATGCACATGAAAAATCATGTTGCTCCATTCTATTCCCTGGAAACATCTGTCCACCCTAGCCATTTCTGAGATAAGGCTGTTTTTCCTCTAGAAAGCATGGCAGACTTTATAGCATAATACACCCTATGAAACCCTGTATAAAAATGCCTTTGAAACTGTCATATACATGGTTCCCCATTAATCCAGGAAGTGACATATTCCATCAGATCATTAGCAACAATTCTAACCATGATAAATTTGGGGAAGAAAAATTAACCTACCCCAGTGTTTCTTCCTGAACAGATTATTGGTATTACTGAGGATGTGTGTGCATCCCAATTCTTGGGCCCAGCCTTTTAGCCAGAGACCTACAAACATGCTCATAAAATATCATTCTATTTTATCTGTCCCCTAAGAAGTAGACTGTCAATTCAAATGTGTAGCTGTAAGGAATGCCCATCCTAAAAACTATTGCATGCCTTTGTTCCCATCACTCAGCTGCAGTTCCTCTCACAGAACTGAGGAGGTCATTTTAGGCAATTCTCAGTCCTCACCACAGCCATTATATCCCATTACATCTTCTATTATTGTTGATGAATTCATTTCAGTAACTGCTTGATACTGTAGAAGCCACACATTCAGCTGGTACAACAAGCTAAGATTTTAACCTTGGTATATTTCTGTATTTTCCCATACTGGGACTTCTACTATACAGTAATTGATCTCCCAGGAAGAATTTGATGTGTATAGCTTTACCTGCTCAGCAAAAAATGAGGTGACTGTGAACACAATCAATGTTACTAATATACAATGTGTCCAAAATTTCAGCTTATCTCTGTAGGCTCTCCTAAGGAAATAAGATAAAAATAAGTAAGATTTTTAAAAATAAATGATTAAATCCAATATACTGAAAAAGAAAATTATGTAATCAAAAGATTATTCTCCACAGAAAAGGATGGTTTCAGCAAGCTTTGAGAACACTCCCCCCCCCGCTTTTTAAGTGAAAATAGGAGGCAATATACTGGGGAAGTGGAGGGAGAGAATCCCCATCCTTAATTTTATATTTGTGCATTGATCTATGACTGAAGGGAATACCAATATTTGAAAGAATGAACAAAATAAGACTTTGACAGAAATTTTGGTATTCCACCCTTGCGTTAATTAAAAAAATGTAAAGTAACCAGTTGGCTGAAAGCAAGGATTAAATGATTCATATCAGAACCCATAACAGAGCATGTTAAATTACACTGAATCTGAAAGATCAATGTTTGAATTATCATTCTTCCACCAGCTATCTTTAAAGAACAGTAATATTAGCAGTTTAATTCTAAGTAAATTCAGTCCACCATAAAAGAAAGGAGAAATTCCTTTGGTCAACTTAGAAAGTTTTACTTCACATGGTAATACAGTATATGCATATTCATTTCAAAGATGCTGAAGCACTCACCATTCCTGAAGCTCCTGCGTATGAAGAAAGCGGTTCCGATATTCTCTTGGCAGTTCAAATTGTGATGGGATGGGAAACATTGATTCATAAAAATCCCTAAGAACTGCCTTTACTGTCTGGGCATCCTTATGATTATGATCAATGTTGTCATTAAGACAAACAAATTTTCTGAAAAAAAGTACATAATAAAAAATTTTACTTGGACAAAATGCAACTTTCCTTTTTAATTAGTTATTAATTGACATATTGTATCTCAGTTAAACGCAATGTGATGATCTTACATTTCAAGCTCATAAGAATAAAAAGGTTGAGAATATATATTATACATAATACTATGATCAGTACATACACAGACATATAAGACTCTTTGTACTATGTTCTTTTAAATTTCAGAAATATTTATCTCCTTTTTCTATATAGTATGTATTTTATAGACAACTAACAGTGTTTATGTTCCTCATATAATAAGAAAATGGTTTCATTACATCCAGATTTTGCTGTTGTTACTAGTAGTTGTAGCAGCAGCAGCAGCAACAGTAATGTCACAGAAACGATGTATAACAATTCACATACAAAAGTAAGATAAAACCATATTAAAATATTGAAACAATAAATTCATTAGCAATTTTAAAAGGATCAAATTAACAAGGGAACGAGGGCCCAACTTAGCTCCAAAATGACATCATTTCTAATCTGGCAGTGATTTTGGAGGAAGACTGGATTTCTGCATCTGCCTGGCCAATAAGCCTTTGCAAGTAAAAGTAAAGTAAATTGCCTCTTTTGCAGATCTTAACAGAAAGGGTCTGTAATGAGATCTAAGGCCTCAGATAACCATTGCTGCTCAAAATTTTAAGGGCTATAGCCAACATCTGAGGGCAGTAAATAATTGGTAGTTTGTGCTGATCTTTTATATAATCACAACTTTGTGCACTATTATCAGCCTAGCAACCAGGTTTTGTACCAACTGAATCTTTTGGACACTCTTCAAGGACAACACAACTTAGAGTAGGTTACAATAGTCTAGGCATGATGCAACAAAGGCATGGATAATCCTTGCAGATCAGAGGCATTCAGGAATGGCCACAGCTGACATACTGAACACAACTGTACATTCTTTGTTAGTGTTATATGATTGCAGTGTTGTATGTGAAAAAGTACATAAAACTCCTTCCCCCATTCCTGCTCTCCCATGAACATTACTGAAACCTTACAGCAGTGACAGACAATACAATAGGACCCTTATTATGCTCTGGGACAATCCCAGTTTAGAAATCAAAGAAATCAAAGGCAGTTGGGATATTAATAATTTAGATCAGTTGTGTCCATTAAAAGGCCAAGGATGCTTAAGTGGTCACTAAATGGGAACAGTTTAGAACTACTGAAATCTCATAGTAATTTATAATAAGCATAAAACTATTAATTAAAATTTTAAAAACTTAAACCATCAAAATTAATAGCCCACTCAAAAATATTTTCTTCTATAGAACAAAAAATTGAGACAATATCAGAGCTAAATGAAGATTAGAAAGGCACACCTGGGATTTTTTCGTATGTCATCAAGCTGTCCAACTACGTGAGAAACATTCGTACGGATCATTTTGAATGCTACTTCTTCTTCTCCCATAATTTCAAACCTTGATGATGGTATAAAAAATATAAGCATCAACAAAATAATAGGAACTAGGTAATTAAAGGAATGGCATTACATTAATTAAAAAGCAGTATCTGATTATCCTGTTTTATATTGGCTTTGATATTTATTATATCTGCTAACTTATTAGGGAATGGCAGCCTTGTATCTACTATGGCTCTGCAAAGCAGTTGAAATGGTGCTTTGCAAAGTGTGTTAGCAATACCAACAGCAAAGCATCCTTCCTCTGAGTGTTAAAGCTACCACATCCTCATATTGTTGCTTTGAAGGCTGTTTCCTGTTGTCTGCATGCACACCTGACACTTTTGCTGACACCATCAGCAAAGTGCGTGCACGCATGCAGGCAGTCAGCCTTCTAAAGGACACAGTTGCTTCACTGCTTTAAATGCTATTCATCTCATCCAGTTTGAAAGGTGGAATCTGAAAAGGTATTGTGGACAACAGTTTCTAGCACAAGTGAAATATTTCTCATAGGGCCTTATTCACTGCATGCAGACAGAAGGCAGGGTATTATGGGAAACAGAGAGGTCCATGCCAATCCCCCTCGCAAGGGCCAGCCTTTCCTTTTCTTCACAGTTAGGTGCCACTGAGTTGGATTTGACTCATGGCAAATCTATGGATAAATGCTTGCCATCTCACCCTATCTCCAGGAATAATGCGTAGCTCTTCCAGCAGCATTATAGTAATCTCTTTCACCTGGTCTACCTCACATTATTTTTTGTTTTTCCCTTCTGCCTCCCTCAATCTGGCCAAGCAAAATTGCTTTTTCATCTGCTTGCATCACCCATTCTACTTGTTGATCATCTCAAGGGAGTAGTCAGCCTTTATTTGATCCAGGACTGCCTGATTCATCCTTATTCAGTCTGTGGTATTTTAGTAACTACCTCCAAATCTGAAGGTATCTGTTTTCTATCATTCTTTCCTAGCTATCCTTGCAAAGGCTTATTGGCCAGGCAGATGCAGAAATCCAGTCTTCCTCCAAAATCACTGCCAGATTAGGAATGATGTCATTTTGGAGCTAAGTTGGGCCCTCGTTCCCTTGTTAATTTGATCCTTTTAAAATTGCTAATGAATTTATTGTTTCAATATTTTAATATGGTTTTATTTTACTTTTGTATGTGAATTAGAAATTACTTAAACTCTGAAGGTTGATTAATTCACACAGTCAGAGATGTGGAGACAGGCATGGAGTTTTGTATTCTTCATAATGACCTGGTGTGATGCTTGAGAGACCAAAAAAACCCGGCCTCTTCCAAACCCTATTGTGATCTATGCATGGACCATACACAGCCTCCTGAAAGCAAACCTAAACATTTCTCAAAATGATCACCAGCAAATATGAAGACTTGGTTCATCAGTATATATACTGAACGAAGTAGGAAACCACGCAGAAGATAGCTTCCGCAATTTTTGCAAATTCTGCAATTTTTTCCAAATTCTCAGCAGTGGCCATAGGAGGCATCTGTACTTTCTTTTGTATAACAAAGGAACATATTGTGCTTGTATCTGCATTTCTGAACTTGTGTTGTGTTTGTGTGTATTTGAAAAATGGAAAGCTACATATGCTTCTCTCTGGGTCACATGACCAAGGGGGTCTTAGAATGGAGGAATTAGAAGCATCTGAGCCATTGCCCAACTGCCTTTCCCACTAGGATGAATTGGGAGAATTTGGGGTGAATTTGTTTCTCTCAACTCTCCACCTGATCCAGACCATTTTCGAGCTTGATCTTTCTTTTGCTGGCTTCTCCGCACCCATTATGCCAAATTCCCCATCCTGGAGAATCACTACACAGAGAGGCAGAGTTCTGATCCTTTTACAAAATTTCCTTTTGCCAGATTGCAAAGAATAAAACCATGACATGGGATCTCCATGGGAGAAGGTATCAAAAAAGTCAACTTGGCATCTGTGACGACGTGATCAAAGCCCCACCCCTTTTTATAGGGGATGCACATAAAAAAGAGGCAGGGCTTCAACTGTATGGTTGCAGTTGCTGTCTTGACTTTTTTTGACACCCTTGCTGACACCCCTGCTAGTACAATTCTGTGTCTATCTCACTGCTGAATAACTTATAATGGTGAAGAGCACCAACTTACAGTAGGAAATTATTGATTAAAATTTAACTATATCTTTATGCCTTTGCATTTTTTAATACAAGTGGTGATAATTATTTTCTTGTTATTTCCTGAAACTGGAAATAACTTTCATGGGCATATGATATGATTAAGGCTAATTTTTCTAGATATCACCATACTAGTTGTCATCAAGGATACACAGTCATCTCATGGAAATACAATGCTCCAGATTAAAGACAGACCAAGAATCATGTATATTCAACCGTATTTTTTTTAAAAAAATATTTTCACTGCCATTATGTCATGCTTTGTTACCAGGCGACTTTAAATACTATTTTTTTCAAAACATACATAGTTCATAGATGGTTCTTTAGTTATGTATTATTATTGCAGTTTAAATAAAATAATAAATCAATACCTGTATTTGTTTTTGTCCTTATATGCTTTGCGAATTCTATCAGTCACAAGCTTACAGTTCATTAGCAGATTTTTAGTCACTGGAGGCTGAAAAATAAACAATTATGAAAAATATGGATCATTACCTCTGTATTTTTATTTATTTTTCAGTTAGACAGCTCCCTACTATTCACTTGTTCCCCCAGAGAACCAGGATTTATGCAATTATTCAGCAAATGTCAGAGACATAATGCTAATATTATACAAAATGGAGTAACTTTTAAAAGTAACTGTAGTAGTTTTCATATTTCATATATAATACAGTAGGCAATGTATTCTCCAGCAGAGCAGAAAAATGCTTGTCAGTCTTCGACAATCAGAAAAATACACCAACTAAGATCTGAGCAGGGATTCCTATTTCTAATTTAATTAATACCTGCTGGCAAAACCATAAATAGTTCTAAAAACACAACTTCAATTCTTAAGGGATTTTTAAAAAAATAGATTTAGTCTTGTACCTGGAAACCCAACTGGAAACCGAAACAATTAAAAAAGAAATGTGAACAGAAGATACTATAGTGTTATTTTAAGCAAGCTTTTCTTTACATATGAAAATTGCAGCTTAAAAGAAATCATGAAGGCTGTTAAGACATCAAAAGGGGATCCAGAACATATTATGGAATTGAGCTTTTCATATAAAAATGCCTTACATTTCATTCTGACGAAGACTTTGTATACAATTTTCATGTTTAATATTTTCCTATTTCCATTTCTTTGTTTATTGTCAAATTTTAGACTATAAACTCCTTGGAGTAAGAATCTGTTCTCTTATTATTTATAAAGTACTTAAACAGATTCATGGCATTTAGGGACAGAAGGAAAGCTGAAGGTCATGCAGTTCAATTCCAGGCAATGGAAAAACCTTAGAGAATTTGATTTTTGTGATGAATTAAGATTACTGTTAATGTCCAAAATCTAATTTTGTACAGTCCTAGAAATTTGGGTTTTATGAATTACAGTTGTTCCACACTATACAGCTATTTTTTTTTTTCATCCCTAACAGGATTTTCAAAAGTAGTTCTGGCATATCATTGGGAGAGGAAGCAATCTATTTATCAGCGAATGAATAAACAAAGCCATTGGATATGTTCATACAATTGGCACATATTAAATGGAGATATATTTTCATCAATGAAATGAACTGCAAGTTCTATTTACATATGAATTTTTTGACTATGACATCTAACAATTTATTGAATAGAAGATATTTAAGTATATCTGGGGGAGATGGGTGGCTTATAAATTTAATAAATAAATAATAAATTTTTCTTCAACAATCCTATCTACCAAAAATTATATACAGAATGTGTTGCAAATTAATTTTGTCTGAAATGACTGTATGCACAAATTAGACAGCAGAATAAACTCACATTATAACTGTTCCTTACCAGGTTGGGATCATAATATGCTTCTTGAGTTGGTGGTATGATATTAATTCTAGTTATATTTACTGGAAGGGATTTAGAACAATTTATTAACATTTGCTCCAATCCTGTCAAATCCTAGTAAGGCAAAAGTAAAAAGGGAAAAGGTTTTATGCATTTTTCTTACCGCAATCTTTACAATAAATACAAATATGATTAACTCAGCACATTAATCTGTTTTATCATTTGTCATACATTCAAAAATATGATTTACACAATGCTTTAGGAAGATACCTTTTCATCTCACTTCCAGGACTCTCCCCTTTCATCACAACTGATCTGATTGACCCACTGAGCAAGATTCACTGATTTACTGTGAAACATTTTAGAAGTCCTACAAAGCCCACTCAGAAAATTACTTTGGCCAACTCTATTGCATATTCCTAACCATACTTTATTTCTTTCTACAATTATATGGAGCAAGCTTTTTTTTTTTTTTTAATTACCTGCAAACTTAAAGGGAGTTCATGAATTCTTGTGGCCAATGTACGAATCTCCCGGTCTGATAATATTCCAGACTGATCTGTATCAACTTCATCAAAAACTTGGGAAATATTCAGTTGCTGAACTGCACTCATGAGATAATAGAAATATGAAAAGGCAAACTGCATATCTTCAGAATGGCGTACTTTATGAAAGGAGGTCTTGTCAAATTCCTCAGGAAATCTGTCCAGAAAAAAGGGATGAATTACTCATATTTATAAAGTTTCAAAACTGATTCTAATCCGAATAATTTTTCCAGTGGATGATAGTATACAACTGTCATCTTCAGTGGCATCTTTTTATTGTAATGTAGTTATTCTACAATTTTGGTCCCTGAATTAAATGCAAAAATTAGGGTTGTTCAGACAGCGTTGGGCATTTGTAGGGAGACAAATTTAAGTCACTCTTCTGCAATGCTCATTGCTTAACCAAGTCCCATGACATCTGTACAACAAAGGCCTATGGCAAGAAGGGTTCTCCGTACATCAGACTCCTTTTCCTATCTTATTCCCAACAAGAAGTCTTATTTCAGGTCATTTATATATGCATAGGATGGCTTTCACATTGTCATCAAATGCATGGCTCCTGGGGCACAGCCAGTTGACTATACTGATATCAGACAATATGCCTTGAAGGAGCAATCATGCTTTCAGCCACTGAACATCCAAAGATGTTTGCCTGAACAGTTTAGAAGAACAGCTGAGACACAGTCCTACTTCATTTCAAGATTTTGAAAACATTTGAGCCAAAGCATGCTAAGCCTGTATCTTCAGACGATCCCAATGAAATGTTATAGCTATTTCAAGCAACAAAGAGCTATGAGTATTTAGTCACATTGGTTTTCAAGTAGTACAGTGGGAGAAAAATATTTAAATAAATAAAGAGAATAATTATCCTCCCATTGGACTCACAGATCCTGTAATTCTTGCATGACTTTTCGGTCAATCATATGAGGCATATGTGCAGGGACCTTCCGAGATGTGAATCCAAATTTTCCATTTAGAAGCTTATTTACATATCTGAGGGAATCAGCAAATGTATCTTTCAGCTGTCTTCCAATGAGTTTACTATCTGTGAAATAAGCCATCTCCTTCTTTAATGATTCTTCTTCCTGAAAAACAAGGACACACATCATGCTTACATTAGCAACAAAACTGATTCAGTTTCAATGAACTTTTTTTACCTAATCCAAAAGCCTAAATTACTTGCTTAACCCACCTTTGTTAATATCAAGAATGTCTACTTTTTAAATTAATTACTTAGATTTAGAGGCTGCCCAACTTCAGACAACTCTAGGCAGCTTACAATTAAAATAGAGAGAACCATAAGACCGAGGATAAAGGACCATACACATCTGGGAAATGTGCAATATAATGAAAACAACCGACTGGGACTCAACACCCACCCTAGCCTATAGCCTGGGAGAACAGCCAGGTCTTCAAAGAGAGCTGTGTGCATCTCTAAGGGGATGGTGTTCCAGAGGACAGTTGCTGCAATGGAGAAGGCACACTTTTAGGTCCCAATAGATGGCACTGTTTAACTGAAGAGACCCAGAGCACATCCTCCCACCAAGAAGACTGGTCATGTTATAAAAAGTGGACACAGGCATGGATTTTATATTCTGAAAACTGAGCTAATCCTTATTGGCTACTTTCTTATTTCCAGCAACCTTTGGAAATATCTAACACTAATTTAGGACCTAATAGGACCAAATGTGAATGTCTGCAGAATGTCCCAACTTCCCATTTAAGACCGACTTGGTACAGGTACAGTAACTATATTAAAACCAATCACATATCTCTTCTCTTTCATCTCCTTTTTGAATATTTAACTTTCTTGTCTGAAACAGAATTCTTGAAACTCAAACTTTGGCTACTACTTTATAAAGTTCCAGTTGACCTAATCAAAGATTCAGTTGGGCAGTGGTACAGGTTGTCTCAGGAGGTTATGGACATTTGTTAACTGGAAGTATTTTAAGTAGCAGCTGGATACTAAGGAATGCTTGCTTGTATTAGAACTGGCTGGATGGCTTCTGCTATCCCTTTTAAGTTTAAAATTCTGTTATTTGTATTAAAGACAATGATTAATACAAAAATAGCATGGGCAAATTATAAGCTGTCCTGCTGAATGAATAACTGGTTATTCACAACTGTTAAAGCTGTAAGAAAATTTGCATTAATACAGAGCTTTTGTCTGTTCAAAGCCAAACTATGCTGCAGTTATCATCATAACCCTTTCATATAGGACTTTATCACTCCATACTACGGATGAGGAAAGGCTAAGGTTCAGACACATGACTTGTCTAAGACCACCAAAGGTTATGTCAAGTGAGTCCATTATTAATGGCCCAGTCTCTTTAGCTATAATTCTACACTCATTTGGGGAATAATACCTAATAGACTCAATAGATGTTACTTCTGAGTATATACACACATAATTATATTATTAACCACTATTCTAAAGCCATTTGGATATATTTGTTCACTAAATGTATGAGTTGCTCTGTAATACGTTCTCTGAATATGGATTTTTTTTAAAAAAGGTAAATATAAAATTAAGTAAGAGCTAGAAACAAATAACAAGCCACTGCCAAAATATTTCAGCCTTTTGGATACTCACATCAAGAAGGTCTTGGAAATACTTATGTTTTTCCCATGGCAAAAAGCCTTGATAATTTCCAGTGTAATACTGTAATTTTCTTCTTGGACTTCCTGCGATATCTTCCTGAGAAAATGCTGGATTAACATCTGCCTCTTTCCTCTTTCTTTGTGCAATTTTCCTTTCCTGGATTTCTTTCTGCATGAGGGCATTCAGGGCTTTCTCATGAGATCCATGTTTTTTATCCACATTCCTGAGTCCAGGTGTGGGTGTCAGTTTTATTGCAGAGCTGTATCTTAGGGGGAAATGACTGGTCACCTTCATTTCCACAAGAATGCTACTTGTTGGTACAAATCCTGGTGGAGACATATTGTGCATTTTTTCTGTATCTACCGTTTTGCCTCCCTTGCCATTTTGGAAAGGTTTCTGCCAAAGCGTGGTCTTTCCAACATTTTTCAGCCCTTCATCCCTTTTTCTTGTTTCCTGGAAATTGTTTAGCACTGCCTTTGTTTCTGAAGGCATCATCTGGAATGGTCTTAGGAGAGCAGCCTTGGACAGATTGTAACCTTTCTGAGTGATGTCACCAACGATTAGCTGTAATTCTAAATTCTGGAGAGCTGTCTTTACAACTTCAGGAAGTGCAGACACATTAACTGTCTGAATTGCCATTTCTTCATCTAAATACTTGGATGTACCATTGAGATGTTTTTTAACTCTTGGGAAACGTCTTTCTTCAGGAATATCCTCAAATATCATTTCAGCTTCTGGCACTGAAGTTGTAGCTTTCAAATCATCTTCAGGTTGCTGGGTGGAAGTTGTATTCGATTTGGATTCCTCCCTGGTATCAACTTCTAAGGTTATCTGCATCTTTAATTCTTCTTCATCTTTACTTTGAAACGTAAGATTAAAATGAATCACAGTTGCATTCATTCCACTATGCATCAGCAGATGGATTGTCTTCCATTTGTTAGCAATAGAAGCATGGCGTACTATTGGATTATCACTATAAGCACCTTCCAGTCCTTTCTTGGCTATTTCAGCAAAGCTGAAATAAGGTAGAGATTCACCTTTTGGAATGATATAATGAGTCTGATTCTTTTGAAGAGTTATCTTGTACAGCTCACCAAAGTGATCTGGAAGAAAAGAATACTGCTATTTACATGGTGCTGTTGTTTTCATCCTACCCTTCTTCCAGCTTCCCTGGACTGTGCATATGCCCTATGTTATCTTCTCAACAGTTCAGTGGGGTAGGCTAGACAAAGAAAATATGTGACTGGACCCTGGACACTCAGTGAAATGCGGATGGAATCCTGGCATCCATAACTCTACTCCAATACTATGCCATACTACTTGGCATGATCCACCGAGTTCCCATGATCATGCCTGGCTAAGACAAATAGCATTTCCCAGTTTTTGATACTTAACCAAAGTGGACAATCATATTTTCACATGATATATACAGAAAATGAGTTATGTATACCCTAGCCTATTCTAGTGGTTCATTTAAAAATTTGACACAGATAGAAATATAGCCATGTTCCCTGAAGAGTTCGTGTTAAAACACTGACATACTAAATATGTGGTGAAATAAAGTTGGGGATGGATATATTATTTTGCATACAAATAAAAGATGACAGAGAGGCCATGTCTTTATTTAACCATTCAGTTTCCTTATCCTATTACACAACATACTAGTAATGGCCTATTTTACTCCAATCCTATAGACCTAAACATAAATAAAATGAAGACGTGGTAAAAAAATAAAAATGCCAAAAGGCTAAAAGTGTCTTACAAGTATTTGATCCACTTTGCTTCCATCCTTTAGGCAGTGCTAAGCAGGACTACAGGTTTAGAAGAGATAAGCCTATACAGTGGTACCTCGGGATACGAACGCCTCTGCTTGCGAATTTTTCGGGTTACGACCAGCTCCGGCCCCAAAAATTTACCTCGGTTTGCGACCTCCGCCTCGGGGTACGAACCGGATTGGCGGCCATTTTCCACCGTGACACGTGGTCCGTGGCCATTTTCCGCCCGTGCCACATGTTCCGCAGCCATTTTCTGCCCGTGCCACGTGGTCCGCGGCCATTTTTCCGCCCGTGCCACGTGGTCCGCAGCCATTTTCTGCCCGTGCCACGTGGTCCGCGGCCATTTTTCCGCCCGTGCCACGT